CCCTCCCCCCCGCCCCCTTCAGTCAGTGGAAGTGCTGTGGGTGAGGATGCGCACCACCGACAAAAGCAGGGTAGTTATTGCACTGGCTGTAAGTCGACCTATCTTTGGTCGACTTACAGCTGTAGTGTAGAAATGCCCATAATTAAAATATCCAGTATAGGGTGGACACTTCCGCATCCCCAGAATACCGGACATTCCAATATTTCCAGGAACGGCGTGACCCTATCCCTGCTGACATGACTTCACGTGCACTGTGCAAGTGAAATCACGCTGCATGGAGGAAGCCATTTTGAAGACCACCTCCCCCCTACTCCCACTGGCGTGATCTCATATGCACGGTGCATGCTGGGGAGGTGAAGGTAGCGTGCCATTCAAAATGGTTTTCCCCGTCTTTGATACCAGATACAATCACATCCAAGTTTGTCTCAATACTGGAAAGAGGCCAAACCTTAGCAAAAGAGGAATGTCTAAAACTAGAGCAGACAAATGGCCTGCCTAGTCCAGTATCGCTACTCATTAGTTGAGAGTAAACAGAAATGATCTGACTAATGAATAAAATGTTATCATCTTAAGGTGCCTGTTGTGTGCCTGCTTTGTAGTGGACTGTCACCTATGTTGAAGCCAGAAGAGCTGATAAAACAGGACAAGCCACATTATGAGGACATAAACAAACATTATGAAAAGTAAATAATAAAGAATGCACATTTAAATAATATCTGATGTCAGCTGAACAGAACAGGGAAATTCTCAGGCCAGAATTCCTACTGCAGCTTATCCTTGTGTGTGACTCCATTTAATATGGAATGCATCAGCCCTAATACTTGGAGATCCCTGCAGTAGCTACAAGCAACAGTATGGCTCAAACACCATGCATTACTGCAGTCTGCATTACTTTGGGTTATTTAGTACTTTACTGTCCAGTTTTCTAAGGGCCTTCAAAACTATGACTGCAACAATGTCCTCTCCCCCATATTTGCACATGCAAATAAGCACCTGAGCAACGTGAGGCAGTCGCTTTTCTATTAGATACCCATTTGGCACATGCAAATATTGGCTGTGTCATGCACAAATATTGAGCCACATTTTCAATAGGATGGCTGCCATTTTGTGAGTGCAATTTGCACTGGTAATTTTGTACTTGACTTGGATTATGGTCATGAATTGAAGTTGGCGTCTTCAGTGACCTACATTAAGGGACTGTGCTATGGCCACAGTGGTGGCTGGTGCCTTTCTTGAGGAACGGATTTTACCCCTTCATGCGAGGGGGAGGGATAGCTCAGTGGTTTGAGCATTGGCCTACTAAACCCAGGGTTGTGAGTTCAATGCTTAAGGGGGCTATTTAGGGATCTGGGTCAAAAATCTGTCTGTGACTTGGTCCTGCTTTGAGCAGGGGGTTGGACTAGATGACCTCCTAAAGTCCCTTTCAGCCCTGCTATTCTATGTTTCCCTGCACAAGCTTGTTTATTGATCTCTGTGCAAGAGGCTGGATTCTATCTTCTCTGATTTCGATATTATGGATCCATAGGAAGGGCTTGTAGTTGGGGGATCTAGACTGGGTCTCACAAGACCTGGGTGCTGTTGGCAGCTCACCACAGACTTCCTGCATGACCTTGGGCAAGTCACTTAAACTCTCTGTGCCTCAGCTCCCCATCTGCTCAATAAGGATAATAACATTCACCTGCCTCATGGGAGAGTGTGAGGATAAATTCATTAATGTTTGCGACGAGCTATTTTACTGTGGCCTTTATGAGCCTAGACAGATAAAACCCTAAGAGTCGAAATCCATATGAAAGATCTGAATTCTTTCAACCCTCAGTTCAGGTGTCTGTGCTGCTTTACAAAGGGCCACGTCCACATTATACAAGGGGGTAGATCCTCAGCTGGTGTAACCTGGAATAGGTCCACTGGAGTCATTGTGGAGGGGTTTAAATTACAGATGGCTACACCACTAGAAAAAGGGTCCAGAATTGAATGTCCCTTTGACTTTTCAGTTTAAATCTGTATTATTGAAAAAAGCCTGCATGTAAATTTGTAGTAAAGCAGCTCTCTGCAAGGCAAAGAAAACAGGGTCAAAACTCTGGCTTGGTCTACACTAACCCCCCAAATCGAACTAAGGTATGCAACTTCAGCTACGTGAATAACGTAGCTGAAGTTCGAAGTACCTTAGTTCGATCTTACTTCGGTCCACACGCGGCAGGCAGGCTCCCCCGTCGACTCCACGGTACTCCTCTCACCGAGCTGGAGTACCGCAGTCGACGGCGAGCACTTCCGGGTTCGACTTATCGCGTCCAGACAAGACGCGATAAGTCGAACCCAGAAGTTCGATTGCCAGCCGCCGAACTAGCGGCTGGGTATAGACGTACCCTCTGATTTGCAAAACTCTTGTGTGCCAGGCTTGTGCTCAGAGCAACTTTTTACAGATGAATAATAAATCCCTAAGAAAAGAAGGGGGGGGGGAGATTAATTTTAGAAAACAACCTGCCTATCCCATTGCAACAGGGAAGTTAGTGGGAATTGTAGTACCCATGTATACATTCAAGTCTAGCCACTTAAAAAGAGTAGAAGCCTTAAAGGATTCTTGCTAGCACTTTTACTCTGAGGATGTTAACCAGCAACAGCACAAGGACTGTTTTTGTATTTTTGCTGGTTAACATCCTCACAGTAAAAGGACTGTTATTACTAACGTCATGGGCTGACGATGCAAGATCCCAAGTTTACATGCACATGATAAAGTCACAGTTTTAATAAATAAATGCATTTAAAAAAATCAAACCCCGTCTTGACAAATAAATTTAAAAGCTTGAGCCAAATGAAATATCCAAGGAAAGATAAAAAAAAAAAAGAAAAGGGGGTCATGGAGTTCTCAATCAAGCAATGCTCCATTCTAATCAGTGGGCCAAAGTCAGACTTGATTTAAGTGGATGTGATGCCACTTAAAGTGAGCTTGATTCTCTTCTCACTTACGACCCTACCCAATGATCATTGAAATCAAAGAAAATACTCTCACTGGCCGTGGTGGGCATTGAGTCAGGTCCTTGTGGCTGCATAAATCAGAAGTAATTCTTAGTCACATCATTGCAGCCATGCCACCATAAAACCAGGGCAAGTGAGAAGACTCTCTTGCCCAGGTGGAGTCCTGTGACAGTGAAGTTTGCAGGATCTGGCCCAAAATTCTCACTAAAGGAGATGAAACTAATCTGCGTTGCAGGATAAATTTCCCTCTCTTCTCTGTGCTGCAGTTCAGAAATCCTGCTTATTCATGGACATTGCCAGGGGTTCTGCATGTGAAACAAGTGCAGAATATACATGAAAGAACTGACTGCATGTAAGAGACCCACAGTGAGGAGTGGAGAGGACGATCTTTCCTCACAGTTGTAGAATGATGTGTTTGCTAGGAACACAGTTTGATACACCCAGGCGAACTGCGGGTTCTAATGACATAAGGTAGGCACCACATGTAAATGTCAATATTCTTATACACAGAGCATGCACAATCCAATGCCTTTTCCCTGCCCACCAAGCCCCAGATATTTCAGGAAATCTACAAGGTATATAAAATGGAAGCAAGAGGAATTAAAAAAAAAAGATTTAAAAGCTTTTAAGCCAAATTAAAAGTGGCAGGATTTTTAATTTTGTTTTAAAATAAGTATAAGGTTAAGAAAACACACAGCTGGAGAAAAGGCAGAAAAATATCAATTACCTTTTACTTTGATTGCTTGGATCAAAGATCACAGTCATTCTGTTTCATATAATGTTTTGTATCCAGCTAAGGTGTGTATCTATCAGCTCTGAAAAAGATTTGCAAAACCATTTTTGAGAAAAAAATTGTAACCTTCAGCCTATTTCATAAGGCCAAATGTTACAGTTATCGGCTACTCTTTCATTGTGTGTCTTAGTTTATTAAATGGACATTTCGGCATACACAATACACAAGGCAGAACTTAACCACTGACCTTTTATTGGCTCAGATCCAGCACTCTATTTTACTGGGTTTTTTTGCATTTCCTAACTGATATTATTATCTAAAAATGAATATTAAAAATTATCCCAATAAATTACCTTGATTCAAACTGTACGAGACGTGCCAATAATTTGATCTGAGATTTCTGAGGCACAGGAGGTTCATGTGTCTTATAAGCCAGGTCAAAGACTAGTCACTGCCTTTTACAGTAATTCCATATAATTATCATCTTAGAGGCCCAAATGAAACATGATACAAATATGCCAAATCTAATCTCAGCCTCTTTTAGATTACCCGATGGCCATGTAAATGCATTAGATTTTTGCATTTTCTATGAAGAACAGGAAAGTTATGTGCAAAGAAATTCTGAAAGTTACAGCTTTGCTTCAACCACAAAGGAGATGAAACTTTTTTCTCATAAAATGGCCATACTTTATAGTCAGTTTCTTTTGATCTGTCAGATATCTTTAGATTTCCTTTAAATTCATTGTGAAAACCTTTGGCTCCTATTTAAACACAGTGCAGAGATTTTAAAAAATCCTCACAGTATTAAAGGAATAAAAATGCTCTTTCAAGAATAATCTAATTTTGAGATTCAGAAATGTCTTTGCAGTTAGATTTCAGTTGGCTATATACAGAAGAGAAATGTTTTACTTGGCTCCCTAAGATGGTGCAGCCACATATTATGTGCTTGATCCTACCATTCAGTACATGAAATACGTTATACCCTCTATCTTGGAAAACTATCCTTTGAACATGTGAGCACATCAACTTCCTACAGTACAGACTCAGATATATCAGGAGGAAGAAGCCAAGCCGCAGCAAGCTACACTGGTAAAAAATACCGGGGGACTTCTTAGTTTTGTAAACAACAGAATGAAAGATACATTCTGGGATCTAGAAAGAGGTACTCAGCTCATACTCATTGAATGACTCCTAATGTATTCATCTGTTACAAAATTCCACTCCTTGATTTAAAGAACAGACTTGAACCCCTCCGGGACCCATTCCTCCTTCTCCTCTCCATTAGCTGTGTGTTTCCTTACTCTCCCACCATCCCTCACATAACCGGCTAGGTTGTTAATGTCATTTAATTGAGCAAACTCTTGAAACAAGTTAGATATGTAAAAGTAAATGGTAATTCTGTCCCCATACCCAATCTTGATCCCTGTTTAAATGGATTCAAAACCCATCCAACCAACAAGATCTTTCCAGGAATCTCACATATCATCTAGAAAGCAGATGCAAAACAGAATCTAAATACACTGCGCTGCAATGAAGTAATATTTGCACTTGTGGCTAGAGCCTGGCTCCACGTAGATTTATATCAAAACTCCCATCGAGTTCAGGGGACCTGGATTTGGTCCAGGATGTTCTGAATACCCTCTAGTTGTCATACTTCAATAGGGCTACTTGCAAAGTAAGGAACAAAGAAGAGAAAATGGCTATTGTGCTACTGTACCCAGAATTCTTAACAGGAAGCTGGGCAGGTCTGTGAGCGAAGAGTGAAAAAATACAACATGTGTCTGTTCCTTTCAAACCCAAAATCTCCTGTGTGCAGAATGCATCACAAGTATTGAGGGAAAATTCTAGACAGCTCAGTAATTTGCTCACATCACTGATTATTATGATCCTAGAAATCCAGAGTGGATTTTGCATATTTCTATTATTGTCAATGTCCCTCCTGACAGGGAAGTTGGGCCCAGGGCCAATGGGGGGGGGGGAAAGCCGGTACAAATTACCGGGGCCCGGTGGTCCAGAAGGGAGCCCGGGGCCTGGCTTCCCCCCCTCTCATCAGCCCTGTTTAGCTGGTCTGCCCTTGCGGGTGGGGCCCGAAAATTTTTTTTCACTGGGGCCCAAACCCGCTCTCACCAGCCCTGGTTGGGCCTCAACTCTTTTATAAAAATTCACCTTTAAATGTGTCACTAAAAAGTGTTATCTCGTGGTTAGAGCACAAGACTAGCTGCTAGCACGCCTACGCTTGGTTCTCAGCTTTGCCACTAACTTGTCATGTAGCTTTGGCCCAGTCACAGAGGCCAACATTCTCCGAAGTCTCCACTAAGAGTCTCATTTTCAAAGGTACTGAGGTGCCTAAAGATGCAGACCAGTACCTAATTGGGTTTTCAGAATTGCCTAAGCAGGTTAGATGCCTAACTCCTGGAGCCACCTCTCTGCATCTTTAAGCACCTAAATATACATTTGAGAATTTGTCCCTAAGTGTCTAAGTCTTTAGATGTCCACCTTGATGTACTCAGGGCAGTTTGCATAAACTTCAATCAAGTTATATCTCTACCCCGATATAACGCGACCCGATATAACATGAATTTGGATATAACGTGGTAAAGGTGAATGTATACAGAGAGAAAAAATGGAGCTGTTTGCCAGAGCGTAACTAATTTGAAATTTGCATTGGCCCCAGACTCCATTCCTATAACTGTGTGCATAGTTGTTGGGTTCCTTTACTGTTTTGCCATACTTCACGTCAAGCAAATAATTACAGCCTTGTAAATCAGTAATAAGTCACACCTGACTTTGTAAGTGACCGGTTAAGTCATTATACTTTTGTGGCCAGAGGGCTTTCACACAGTTAAACTGGTTATTTAATTCTGTGGAAACCAGTTTATTAAGATCCCACAATAAGAGGACTGAAATCTCAATACAAACAGCAAATAGGGGAGAGGTGTTATTTATAAAGCCCGAAGTCTCCACTGGGAAAAGATAGCAAATATGATAGCACATTATAGATAGCACACAAATATAGCACGTTATGGCGAGTGAGATGTTAAGAGTTTTAAATGATAATAAAGGGTTATCTTTGGTGGTTTCAGTTATTGAAATGTTTTCCCTTTTTAAGACCACTGGATGTCAGTGAATTAAGGATTCTAAGATTGCTTCTCCATGAACTGGGAACGCACACATTAACTTGTCACTTAACTTTTCTCAGCAAGGGAAGGTTTGTTGATTTGCAATTGCAAAGCAATTTTTGCTTCAGAAGTGTGATTTCCTGTTTGCTTGATGGATTACAGTATTTTATCATTGGTTTCTCATCAGAAGATTCTAAGATAGGCACAAACTCTGCCTACACATTGAGCTGGAGGAAGAATTTGCGTCAGCTGGAAATCAAGAAAGTGCACTTTCATGCAAAACTTTCATGTACTTTCCCTCCTTTCCTACAAGCCATTAGGTATTAACATATTGTTGCTGGAGGTATCTTGAGCTGATCTGGAGGCTCTACCCCTCTAATGTCCAGAAAACTATCATATGGGGGCTGAATTTATGACTCCCAATTATCCGGGGTTGGGGTGGATCAGCATGCCATGCCAGTCACAGGGAATATGCAACTCAACAGGTCTTTCCTAACACCTTTCTTCTGAGTGGCCTACAGCACTGCATGTACTCAAGCCTCTACTCAGAAGTTCAGTATGGTACCAAATACCATCATTGTTGTTCCAATCCATGAGTCAGTGGAGTGAGGTACTAATCAGTGTGAGTAAGGCTCTATACCACAATCAGGCCCTATATAATTAAGGAGCAAGACTCCTTAATCACATCAAACCTCTAGACATCATGCAAAGAATGAGGAGCATAAATATTCCCTTTATAGTGCTTGATTGTTTGTCTGTTCAATCTTTATATAAGTTAGGAAGATCTACATGGTGGACTGGAAAGGGATTTGAAATCATCATGTGGGAGTTCTGGAAGTGTAAATTGTCACTTCAAAAAATATATATTGCCAGTGGAAACCTGAATTGGATTTGGTGTGATGTGGAAGTCCAGCACCTCTTTGTGGATTTGATTTGTATTAGCTAATAGCAAAGTTTAAAAAATCTTTATTTCTGTTTGCATATATTTAGATATGACTTTAATTGTGCAATTGTTTGATGCCAGAGTGTTTTAGCTGAAATTGCAAGAGAAGGACATGTGTTTGAGTCATGCAAATGGAGTTTAGTTTTAGTTAACATGTGATGAGATCAAGTGAAAAATTCCAAGTAGTACACTTGCTCATTGAATAAATATGTACAAACTTATACAGAAGTGGGAGAGGGAGCTGATTTCCTTAAACCAGAATGGATGGTTAAAGCAATACAGAAGTGTTTCAGCAAACGGACTGAAGCCAAAGAAGGGACATAAAACACAGGACAGGAGTCTCCACTTGGTCACTCCTATTTTAGGCTGATGTAACCCCATTGCACTGGTGTAAACTGGAGTAATGCAGTGGTGAATCATGCTTACACTTGTGGATACTCTGAGCCCTATCAGCGTGTTAAGTAAATGCTGAGATAAGCTGTGCTGTTCGCTATTAACAAATCTTACTTTTAAATTCAAAACAGCAAAAACAAAATGCATTTAGTGATACATTTTTGCTACTGTAATGTACACCTCCTGTCTTAAGTGCTAAGGCAAGTCTAGTAGTTACCACAATGCCTCTAAAATAGCAAGAACTGGCAGGAAAAGCACACATACTAAACTACCTGTACTATATTTACTTGTCATTCTGCAGATTCATACAGTCCTAGACTTAACCTATCTGGTAGGAAGTAATAGTAGCCATTTAATGAAGCATTTTAAAAACGAGAAGGAAGAATGGACTGGGAAAAGGGCACTTTTGATTGAAAATAATTATGGCATAGAAATAAAAAAAGGTAGCTACTGCATGTTCATGACTAACGGTAAGAAATAACAGGTTTCAGGTATCTCGGGGCCTCTCCTTTTGTCCCTCCAAGCCCACGAACATGATACAGTTCTGCAGTGACCTAGAATCCTACTTTCGCCATCTCCGACTCAAAGAATACTTCCAACACGCCTCTGAACAACATACTAACCCAC